CAATGTTTACCAGACACCCTCAATATGACACTACGGGACACTATTTCCGCTCTGTGTATCGTCATTCTAAACCACCCCTTATTTTAATATTTTTCTCTATATATGATTCAAAATTAAATACTAATATGTATGGCCATGAATTTTCGTTGCATTCCGTATATATTTTAGAGAGAAAAAAATTATTTCGGCGGCATACCACATAAATGAGAAGCAGAGTTAACCTTATGAAATACTGATATAACAACAGCTATGGAACGGAGAAGCTGTGCTCGTGCTATTTGGAGGCCAAGTATCATGTTTCTCTCTCTCTCTCTGTCTGTCTGTCTCTCTCTCTCTCTCTCTCTCTCCTAATTCCACCCCTTCTGCCTATTATAACTATTCCTAATACATCTACCAACCCATTTACTCGTTTATAATGCCATTAATCCACCTATTTGACCTATTTAAATTCCTCCGTAGTTGTACTTTCCTTTGCCAATTGTAGGATCTCCTGGTTCTGCCATGTACTGATATTTTGCTTTACCAATTAAAACAATGAGTTACTTAATGCACAAAGGCAGAACATACCATACAGAAAACTCAGCTCAAATAACAATGACATTAAATGGATATTTAATTATTTAAAGAATATTATTGGACAAAGGAAGGCTATAGGTAGGAGAAAAAATCGCGGTGACGTTTACCTCCGAGATTATTATAAGGTATTGGCCGGTAGGGTTAAGACCGAGATAAGAAAAGCAAAGAGGAATAATGAACTAAAGGTAGCAAGGGAGGCGAAGTCAAACGCCAATGGGATTCTTCCAAATGTATCAAACTAAAACACGAGATATTTGCCAGAGTATTAAAGGAATGTAAGGAAAAGCTTAGTATGATCTTAGCAAAGTTGATTAACATGTCATTAAAAACGGGTGTAGTACCAGAATCCTGGAGGATAGCGAATGTGATACTGATTTTTAAGAAGGGAGATAGATCACTATCCTCTTACTACCGTACAGTCAGTTTAACATCAATTGTAGGCAAATTGCTGGAAGCAAAAATTTCAATCTCAATTCGAAATCACCTGGAGAAGCACAAGTTGATCAATGATTCCCAACATGGCTTCACTAGTGGGCGTTCATGACAAATCTATTAATAATCTTTTCAACTGTTTTCGAATCAATGGATGACGGACACGATTATGATGTATTATATCTCGACGTTAGCAAAGCCTTCGAAAGAGTCCTCCACGAAAAACTAATACGTAAAGTGGAGGCTCATGAAATTGGAGGATTCTAAAATGGATTAGGGCGTTGTTACAGGACACGAAACAGCGAGTAAGCATTAACGCCACTAAATCTTGATGTGGGTAACGTCACTAGTGGAGTACTCCAAGGCTCAGTACTTGGACCATTACTATTAATTAAATACATAAACGACATAGATATCGGCGTAGACAGCAACATAAGTAAATTTGATGACGACACTAAAATGGGGCAAGGAATTAATCTGACGAAGACTCTGCAAAACTACAGGAAGATGTTAAAAAAAATCGGATGGTCTGAAAAATGGCAGATGAAACTTAATGTGGACAAATGTAAGGTAATTAGTCTAGAAGATGTAAACAGGGAAACCAGATATGAGATGAACAACGTTGTTATAGACTCTATAGAGAAATCCAACAGTGAGAAAGATTTAGGAGTAATGATAAGTAGGAGTCTTAAACCAAGACAAAAATGTATATTTACTCGAAACAAGGCTAACAAAGTACTTGGGTTCATACAAAGGAGTGTTTGTTATAAGACTAGCGAGGTTATCCTAAAACTATGTCTTGCGCTTATAAGACCTCACTTGCATTACGCAGTTCAGTTCTGGTCACCGTACTACAGAATGGATATAGAATCCCTACATATAATTCAGAGGAGAATGACAAGACTAATCCCGGGCATTAGGAACCTTGAGTACAGAGACAGGTTAAAGCATCTAAACTGCACTTCCTCGAGAGACGTAGAGTGAGGGGCGATATGTTCGAGGTGTATAAATGGAAGTCAGCGCTAAACAAAGGTGATGTAACAAATGTAATCAAACTCTCCAGCAGGAGCGAACTCGTAACAATGGTTTTAAATTAGACAAATTTAGATTTAGGCGCGAGATAGGTAAACATTGGTTTGGAAATAGAGTAGTGGATTAGTGGAACAAGTTACCAAACATCATCATTAACTCGAATACGCTGGATAGCTTCAGACATAGGTTGGATGGATATATGAGGGATAGGGGTTGGGTGGAAACTGGACTGCCCAGTATGGGCCAATAGACCCGCTGCAGTTATATTCTTTATTGATTACATCAGCATCTACACACAGCACCACAGATAGCTCAGCTCAGCTCAGCTCAGCTCAGCATAGCACAGCACAGCACAGCACAGCACAGCACAGCACAGCACATATCTGTATCACTACAAGACCATTTGTGTGTCTTGAAAACGTGGCTTTAAAAGGATACGTTTCTGATTTATTTCGTGAATTAATATATTTATTTATTATTAATGCGTATTGGTCCGTTATCGTCTTAAATGGTGGGGAATGATGATAAAAATAAAAATAATAATAATAATAATAATAATAATAATAATAATAATAATAATAATAATAAAAATAAAAATAAAAATAATAATAATAATAATAATAATAATAATAATAATAATAATAATAATAATAATAATAATAATAATAATAATAATAATAATAATATTATTATTATTATTATTCCACACACACACACACCTCTTCAAACAACCTTTAAAACTTTTACAAAACTTTAAATTTTCACTTTATAAACTGTTAAAACTTTGTAACGTCAAAGCAATAATAAAAAATGTGCCCCATTTTGCTATAGTCAGATTACGAACAACAAACGAGAGATAATTGTCTAAGTTTTTCAAAATTTGTTTTCGACTAAATTATGATATAATTAATGCACTTGTGTATATTTAGTGGATTATTATAAGAAATTATATACTGTATTATGAAAATTAAGGAGAATATATTGTATTTACCATGAAAATAAAGATAATTTTATATATGCTTAAATAACATGAAAAAAGGAAGATATTTTCTGGTATCCCGAGAAGTTAGTTCCTTTATGATCCCGACAAGTTAAAATCTTAGGTGACCTGGACAGCCTGAGGTGTGTTGTCTTAGGGAACAATGTTATGACCACACAGCCGTCATCACCAGGACACCGCTGCTCCCGGATATTGAATATTCAATTAGCGTTATTAAGGTGTGTTATCCGAGCTCCAGGTGACCCCCCTCCCTCCTCACCTGTGTTATTGCTACACCCATTACGGCCTCACGAACGGGCGACGGAGTAGGAGGGGGGAGAAACGTAGGGTGATGGGGAGGGCGGACGTGGGAGACGGACGTGAGGTGGTTTGGGGAGGGGGAGGGGAAGGACGGATTGGTGGAGAGAGACGGTGACAATATTTCAAAGGTTTTATGTTAAGAAAGAAGTATACAAATAAATATATAAGAGACTAACAAACAGACAGACAAACACAGGAGAAGGATCCCCACGCTATGCCTATACCCACAGGAGAGAAGGAAACTCTGTATAGGACTTTTGGCCCACCTATAAGGACTATCAGGCAACAGAGGCGTCCTTGGTAGGATTCCCGATCACTGTAAGGGTTCTGATCACCTTGTCTAGAGGAGGAGCTGCTGGGGGGGGAAGGGCGGATGGGGTTCAATTCCTCAAAGGGGTAAGGGGGAAAGATGTACCCAAAGAGAAGAGGGAGGAGGGACTCAAGGGTGAGGTAGGGGTGTGGGTGGGGAGGAGGGACTCAAGGGTGAGGTAGGTGTGGGTGAGGAGGAGGGACTCAAGGGTGAGGTAGGGGTGTGGGTGGGAGGAGGACTCAAGGGTGAGGTAGGGTGGGGTGGGGAGGAGGACTCAAGGGTGGGTGTGGGTGAGGAGGAGGACTCAAGGGTGAGGTAGCCGTGTGGATGGGTAGGAGGGACTCAGGTAGGGGTGTGGGTGGGGAGGAGGGACTCAAGGATGACGTAGGTGTGGATGAGGAGGAGGGACTCAAGGGGTGAGGAGGGGGTGTGGGTGAGGAGGACTCAAGGGTGAGGTAGGGGTGGGTGAAGAGGAGGGACTCAGGGTGAGGTAGGGGTGTGGGTGAGGAGGGACAAGGGTGTAGTGGGTGAGGAGGAGGGACTCAAGGGTGAGGTAGGGGTGTGGGTGAGGAGGAGGGACTCAAGGGTGAGGTAGGGTGTGTGAGGAGGAGGGACTCAAGGGTGAGGTAAGGGTGTGGATGAGGAGGGAGACTCAAGGGTGAGGTAGGTGAGTGAGGAGGAGGGACTCAAGGGGTGAGGTAGGGGTGTGGATGAGGAGGAGGGACTCAAGGGTGAGATAGGGTGTGGGTGGGGAGGAGGGACTCAAGGGTGAGGTAGGGGTGTGGGTGAGGAGGCGGGACTCAAGGGGTGTGGGTGAGGAGGTGTTGGGGGCATGAGGGGAGAAGTCTGGCTAGTACTTGTGGGGGTGTGCGAATGTTTGTTACTTGATACTGTGTGTGTGTGTGTGTGTGTGTGTGTGTGTGTGTGTGTGTAATTACCAGATTAAAGCTGTTATTCATATTGTTGCACAGACATACACTAAATACTCTACCCTATAATTATTCATTATGTCGCCTCTAAGTAAACTTCTATCTTTGTCTCTGTATCTAAAAGTTTATCCAACAAATTTTATTCATCAGCACCAATACATAACCTAACCTAATCTAACCTGACCTGACCTAACCTAACCTAACCTAACCTAACCTAATCTAACCTAACCTGACCAAACCTAACCTAACCTAACCTGACCTGACCTAACCTAACCTAACCTGACCTAACCTAACCTAACCTGACCAAACCTAACCTAACCTGACCTGACCTAACCTAACCTAACCTAACCTGACCTAACCTAACCTAAGCTAACCTAACCTAACCTAATCATACTCAACACTAAACTAATGTACTGTACTCACCAGCGGCAGCAGTCACCAGGGCTCTGTCACGCACCAAGCTGCCAGGGAGAGATATAAACAGTTATTACAGGTGTTATAGATTGGTGACTGGACAGGTAAACTCATTAACAATCACTACAGGTGTTACAAGAGACTGGTGACTGGATAAACTGATGGATGAACTGGTGACTATGTTCATGGACATAAATGAATGATGATGTATGTATGTATGAACGAGTGTATGTATGTATATATGAACGAGTATATGTATGTATGAACGAGTGTATGTATGTACTCGTGGTGACAGATAAAAACTGGACACACACACACACTTAACCTTTCCAACCCTGCTAATACTTAATCCACCAACCACTACCCTCCCCTCCCTCTCACCTCACACTACCTCATTCGTCTCGTCTTATTATCTCCTTATCGCCCTTCCCTTTTCCTCATTTCTCTCCCTTTCTTCCTTCCCCTCTTACCTCTGTCTCCTCCACCTCCTCCATTGTTTCCCTTTCCTTTTCTCTTTACCCCCTCCCTCCTCCTTCATTCCCTTTTCTTCCCCTCCCCTCTTCCTTCCCCTTTACCCTCTTCTTTTTCCTTTCCTTTTTTCCCTCTTGCCCACCCCCCCTCATCCTCTTTCCTTGTTTCTCATGCCCCTTTCTTTCACCTTCCTCCACCTCCCCCGACCACTAAGGCTTCCTGGTGGCCAAGACCGCCGCCCTCTTCTTGAAGCAAAAAGCGCCTAATATATTGACGTAGTTATGGGTCTTCCTTCTTGCTATCTATCGTGCTGTCTATCTCTGTCTATCGTGTCTTCTACCTCTGCCTATCACTGTATCTTTGTATATATCGTGTCGTCTAGGTCTGCCTATCGTGCTGTCTATCTCTGTCTAGCGTGCCATCTATCATTGTCTATTGTCTATTGTATGTATGTATGTTTCACCTTTTATCTAGTTTCCCCTATATCGTCTTCTGCCCAACATACCCGAGGCACCGACTATCTACAGAGATAGTCAAGAGAATAGATTAAGCGGGTTAGTAGTGACTAGTAACGATGTTGGTAAACAAAGACAAACTAAAGCCTGATAAGTCACCAGGTCCCGGTGAGATATATGCCAGAGTATTAAAAGAATGTAAGGAAGACCTTAGCAAACTTGTTTAACATGTCATTAAAAACGGGTGTAGTACCAGAATCCTGAAGGATAGAGAATGTGATACCGATTTTCAAGAAGAGAGATAGATCACTATCCTCTAACTACCGTCCAATTAGTTTAACATCAATTGTAGGCAAAGTACTGGATGCAATAATTTCAATCACAATTCGAAATCACCTGGAGAAGCACAAATTGATCAATGATTCTCAACATGGCTTCACAAGTGGGCGCTATGTCTGACAAATCTATTATCATTATTTTCAACTGTTTTCGAATCGGTGGATGACAGACACGATTATGGTATGGTTTACCTCGACTTTAGTAAAGCCTTTGACAGAGTCCCCCACGAAAGACTAATACGTAAAGTGGAGGGAGGCTCATGGAATTGGAGGAGTTGTTCTAAAATGGATTAGGGCGTGGTTACAGGACAGGAAACAAAGAGTCAGCTTTAATGGTACAAAATCAGACTGGGGTAACGTTACTACTGGAGTACCCCAAGGCTCAGTGCTTGGACCATTACTAGTTATTATATACGTAAACGACATAAATATAGGCGTAGGCAGTAACTGAAGTAAATTTGCTGACGACACTAAAATAGGGCGTGTAATTAAATCTGACGAGGACTCCGCAAAACTACAGGAAGATCTAAAAAAAATCGCTTGGTCTGAAAAATGGCAGATGAAATTTAATGTGGACAGATGTAAAGTATTTAGTCTAGTCTAGCAGATGTAAACGGAGTAACCACATATTAGATGAACAACGTTGTTATAGAGAAATCTGACTGTGAGAAAGATTTAGGAGTAATTATAAGTAGGAATTTTAAACAAAGACAACAATGCATATTTATTCGAAACAAGGCCAACAAAGTACTTGGGTTAATACAAAGGAGTGCTAGTTACAAGACTAGTGAGGTTATCCCAAAACTATATCTTGAGCTTGTAAGACCTCACTTGGATTACACGGTGCAGTTTTGGTCACCGTACTACAGAATGGATATAGAATCCCAAGAAAGAATTCAGAGGAGAATGACAAGACTAATCCCGGGCATTAAGAACCATAAGTACAGAGACAGGTTAAAGCATCTTAATTTGCACTCTCTCGAGGTGTATAAATGGAAATCAGGGCTAAACAAAGATAATATAACAAAGGTATTCAAACTATCCAACGAGGAGCGAACTCGTAACAATGGTTTTAAATTAGACAAATTCAGATTTCGGCGTGAAATAGGTAAACACTGGTTTGGTAGCAGAGTAGTGGATGAGTGGAACAAGTTACCAAACATCGTCATTAACTCGAATACGCTGGATACCTTCAAACATAGGTTGGATGGATATATGAGCCATAGGGGTTGGGTGTAAACGGGCTGCCCATATTCCCCCTTCCCTACACGCCACGCCACGCCCCGCCCCGTCCCACCCCGCCTCACCACCCCGCCCCACCTCATTGCCCCGCCCCGCCACTCAGATAGGGGTGTCACCTTACCTTCAAAATATTATCTCTGCGAAAGGACGGTCGATAATTGTGGTGCAGTCCCATGACCACAAATTTTTTCAATCCTTTAAATAATAAGTCTTGTTAGTGGTGTTAGGGCGAGGCTGTTCCTCCCCAAGGCCGTCGACAACCATAACTACAACTATATCCAGCAGTTATGAATTTTTGGTTGGTTAGGTTAGGTTAGGCCCCAAAGTCCAGGGTTTGTGGCCCATGGTCCAAACGTCCTGCATTCAGGGAAAACAAGGAGAGAATGAAGGGAGAGGGCGTGTCAACGGAAGGGTGGAGAGGGAAGAGGGAAGAGATGTGAGAGGAAGGAGGTCCTCTTCCAACCTCAGAATTCACACTTTACCTCACCTGAACTCTTTCAACCTCACCCTTCCACCTGACCTCTCCCCTCATCCCCTTTGTCTCAAGAGGGGATAATTAGGTGGTGTGGAGAGGTCACGTTGACTGACCCAGACTGACCTTCAACCTCTCCCCGGCTGTGTACACTCCTTCTCTTCATTAACACTCATTTTTCTTGACCTATTATTTTTTGGGGGTGAGGAAGGGGGGCGGACATTAGAGATTAATTTAGTAAGTGTGATGTTGTGTTCTTGTTGTTGTTGTTATTATAAAACAATGAAACAACAACAATAACAATTTAACCAAATATAACAGATCAACAACCACAGAAACAAACAACAAACAAACACAACAAACAACAATATATAAATACTCGTAATGTCGACGCGTCTCTTTGTTTACTAGTTGCCCTTTAAAAATTGTGGATTAATTTCTCTCATCACACACACACACACACACACACACACACACACACACACACACACACACACACACACACACACACACACACACACACACACACACACACACACAACCCAACACCACACACACACACACACACACACACATACACACACACACACACACACACACATACACACACACACACACATTAGTTATATTTACAAACAAAGTCACAGAACCACTCCAGTTTTTACCATAAGTGACAACATGGAGGAGTAGTTAAGTGGAGGACTATTAGCCTCTAAGCATTATAAATATACCAGACCCTCTTAACATACACAATCATACCTTCCAATTAGTATACTTGTATCATACTGTGCTCTCAGTGTATTTTATTTACATCATGCGGGTTGTTATGTTCTTATATATATATATATATATATATATATATATATATATATATATATATATATATATATATATATATATATATATATATATATATATATATATATATATATATCATACTTTGTGTGTGTGTGTTTAGTTTGATCAGGTGTTTTAATGAGGTCTTGACGTCAGGTGTTGTGGTAATATATGACTTGGGTGACACTCTGAGGCCCCTGTCATCCCTCACCTCCCCCCGTCACCTATTCCCCTCACCTCCTCCCTCATCCACTTCCTTCACCTCCTCCCCTCACCCACTCCCATCACCTCCCCATCTCACTTCCCCTTCATCCATTCTCACTTCTCCCATCACCTCTCGCCCATTCACTCTCACACCACCCCACACCCACACTGGCTGGAGGGTGAGGGGAGACGGAAGTAGGAAGGAGAAGGTTGGGGAGAGGGAAGGTTGGGGAGGGAAGAATGAAGGAGGGAAGAAGTGGAAGAAAGGAGAGAGAGAGAGAGAGAGAGAGAGAGAGAGAGAGAGAGAGAGAGAGAGAGAGAGCAGCACACCTGTCACCAAAGGAGACAGAGGGGCGCGTGAGGGGACAAGAGGGCCAAGAGAGGTCATGAGGGGCAGCCTGGTTAAGGAGGAGGGAGGTCACAGCGTGAAATGTTAGTGAAGGGAGACACAAGGGAGGGGAGGGGAGGAGACACAAGGGTGAGGGGAGGAGACACTAGGTGAGGGGAGGAGACACTAAGGTGAGGGGAGGAGATGGGAGTAGGGGAGGAGACACGGGTGAGGGGAGGAGACTTAGGTGAGGAGACACTAGAGGAGGGAGGGGAGGGGAGGGAGGAGACAGTAGGTGAGGGGAGGAGACACAGGGTGAGGGGAGGGGAGAGACACTAGGGTGAGGGGAGGAGACACTAGGTGAGGGGAGGAGACACTAGAGTGAGGGGAGAGGGGAGGGAGGAGACACTAGGTGAGGGAGGAGACTCTGTGGGGTGAGGGGAGGAGGACACAGGAGGGAGAGGGGAGGGAGGAGACACTAGGGTGAGGGGAGGGGAGGAGACACTAGGGTGAGGGGAGGAGACTCAGGGGAGGGAGGGAGGAGACATCAGGGTGAGGGAGGAGACACTAAGGTGGGGAGAGAAGGAGGGAGGGGAGGAGACACTAGAGGGGAGGAGACTCTAGGGGAGGGGAGGGGAGACACTAGAGGAGGGGAGAGGGAGGAGGGGAGGAGACACTAGGGGTGAGGGGAGGAGACACT